AGAGTAGTCCTAGAACAAGCTGGAATATTCAGCATGTATACATTACTGAAACAGCGACGTCTATGTTGGCTTGGGCACGTCGTGAGAATGGCTGATGGTCGGATTCCAAAGGATCTCCTGTATGGAGAATTAGTGCAGGGAAATCGCCCCAGAGGGAGACCACAGCTGCGATACAAGGATATCTGCAAGCGGGATCTGAAGGCCTTAGGAACAGACCTCAACAGATGGGAAACCCTGACATCTGACAATTCAGCCTGGAGGCAGGCAGTGCATCATGGCCTCTCCCAATTTGAAGAAACCCTTGTCCAGCAGGCCGAGGCAAAGAGGAAGTCACAAAAGCAGCAAAACCAGGGAGCTGGATAGGGGACAGATTGGATTTGTCTTCAGTGTGGAAGAGATTGTCACTCTCAAATTGGCCTCTTCAGCCACACTAGACACTGTTCCAAGTCCTCCATACAGAGCACGTCACCATAGTCTTTCGAGACTGAAGGATGCCTAACCTAACCTAGTACATAGATCCAACTTAAAGTTCTTTTATTCTGACTAGAATTTGTTAAAGTTGCCTTTTGAGATTAGAGTTCCCAGAATTCCCCCATCCACTGAACGTTTTCGCTTGAGAATTGTCAGAGTCTAGAGAATATGTTTTCCAAGTTCTACACTTGACTGTGTGATGTCTAAACCCGCACACCACAGTTGGACTTGTGGATAAAGTGGTGTTATAGCTGTTTGTCCCCTGTCAGCAAATAGTAGATATTTTTTAGACTCCCAAAGAGTATCCTAGAAGATTCAATGCTGTATCCCTAGACAAACATACATACAAGTGGCTTCAAAAGGCTTGGTCATGCAAGCAGAACATCTGCATGGTACATTCTGTTTCTTGTAGTAAAAATATTACATCTGACATTGTGAGAGTGGGCTTTTACTCTACAACGAGACTTAGAGATGTTCTTGTTTTCTTACAGGATTTATACCCCATTTAGTGAAGATACGCCTTATGTGGGCCAGCGTCTCTTGAGCTCTGTGTTGAACACCATCATCATGATCAGTGTTATAGTAGTCATGACAATCTTCTTGGTTTTGTTATATAAATACCGTTGCTACAAGGTAAGGCTGATTAATAGATTTTTTTAAGCTGTCCAAGTGACAAATAATTTATGGTTAGTTTTACTTTACAGGTTAAAGTTGCTTACTCGTGACTTCAGTCCATTGTGCTCAACAGTTTCTTTAAGGATGAAAACAGACACAATGGCTTCCTCAGTGTATCCTCACAATTTGTCTTTCTTATCTGTAGTTAAATGTTAGTTCTTTGTGCTTTGGGTAGCCAGCCTGTATGTTCCGAGCGGCTTAGATATATTTAAATATATGTAATTTGCTGCCTAGATGGCTCATTGAATTGGGTGCCAGGCATTGGAGCCAGAGGTTGGGAGTTCAATTCCCACTGTGCCTGCCAGAAGAGACAGCCTGTGTAGCCTTGAGTATGTCAAGACTGCAAGTGTTGCATGGCTAAAAGTATTGAAATTGTGTTCTGCACCATCAAGTTAGAACCAAATTATAGTGACCATATTATAGGGATTTCAAGGTAAGTGAGATTCAAGAAGTGGTTTTATGATTATTGAAATACTGGCATATATGTGAAATGTTCTAATATGTTAACATAACCAGAAGGTGGTGCTCTCCTGACATAGTAAATTGCTAGACCTATAACTTACTCTTTCTGTAATTTGTGCTGGCAGTAGTTTCCTCATCCAGCAAGTGCAGGGACCATTTGGTCAAAAAAAAAAAGTAACAATCTGCCTTAGTGGCATTTTACCAATCTGGTAATTAATGGGAATCATACTTTCCGAATCCAGAAAAAAACAGTAGGGATGACAACTGAAAAAATTCTGACTGTTTATAGAGAACTGTAATTTACCAACCTAGCAAAATTAATGATAAGCATCATTAACAAGTATAAACAGTTGTCAGAAAAGAAAGCCTGAGCAAACTAGGAGCGAAAGATGAGGGATAAGCACCTATAGAGGGGAGGAGTAAGATTTTTTTGTAACATTATAGAATTATGCTGATGCAATTCTCCAAGGTATGTCTGCAGCAGGCAGACAGCATGATCATACACACTGGTTTTATGATTTTCAGTTTATACTGTGTAACTCCAATAGGATTCTGGCCCTGGGCAGCTTCCCTTTGTGCTCCCCACTCCCATTTCTTAAAGTGTAACAGTAGTGAAGCTATTGGATAGAGAAAGAGCTCACACACCATGCAGTAAAGAACACTCTGGAGGCCCAAAGGAGAAAATGAGCAGAACACGTATGTGATGTATCCAAGGCACAAACTGGCCACCTGATCTCTTGTTTTACCTCCCCCTTTTTTTTTAACAGTTCATACACGGCTGGCTAATTCTCTCTTCTCTGATGCTTCTGTTCCTTTTTACCTATATCTACCTTGGGTAAGCACTGTTGATTATAACTAGTTTGGCATCTCTTTAAAGCAGAAGAGACAAAATGCAGAATGAGATCTATCAGGAGACTGTTGTACAATTTGCAGTAGATGCATTGCAAAACTTTTCTGATGCAATGTGCTTGAACAATAACCAAAAGGCTTTTCCCTTCTGGATTGACTGATCTTCAGGATTGAGAGCCAAATTACTTGCTGTCCCATCCCCAAAAGCATACCTAAACTGTCCACTGTCATTTTGGAAGGCAGCAGTTAGCTGTAGACCTTGAGTAAGACATGTTGGGGCCTACATAATTTTCCTGCCCCAAATTCTCTACCTGCTGCAGTTTGCTGCTGAGAGTAGAATTGGCAACAAATAGTTATATTATATTAGAACCACATTCTGGATCAGAATACATGAGCTGATTTAGATTTGACCTAGATAAGTATGCCATGTCAGTTCCCCATCCAAAATCTCCCCTGCCATTTCATACTCGTGCTGCGGTGTGGGTGTGGGAATGTTGAATTTGGTTGTGGATACTCATTGCCTGCATAGAATAACTGTCTTCTGGGGTATTATTTGTTCTGCAGTGAAGTGTTAAAGACCTACAATGTGGCCATGGATTATCCTACCCTCTTCTTTGTCATTTGGAACTTTGGAGCGGTCGGAATGATTTGCATCCACTGGAAGGGGCCCCTGCAGCTCCAGCAGGCTTATCTCATCATGATCAGTGCCTTGATGGCTTTGGTTTTCATCAAATACTTGCCTGAGTGGTCAGCCTGGGTCATTCTTGGAGGCATATCTGTTTATGGTACGTCTAGAATTGGAAGAAATTGTAAGATGTCACCAGTAATGATATGCATAACCTGTCCTGAATGGGCATTTGAACCAGTAGTATTTTACATCATCAGCTGGTGGCCTTTATATTGGCATCACAATTGGCAACAATAACATTCAAAGTTGCATTCAACTTCAGGGTGATGCTTGCTTTAGACTTCCATGGCCCTGCTCAGAGATCTCAATAAAATGAGGTCACAAACCAGAAGCCATGGTTTATCATGACTGATTCTTTGGTGTACCTATGAGTGGGAGATCTGGTGTTTCTGTGTAAGTATCTCATTCATTGTGGCTTGTCTTGTCATCCAAGGCAGCCAAACTTTGGTAGATCTTTGCCATGGTTTGCTTGAAACATATGAGTTTCATAACCCATTATCAGACTTTTAAAAACAAATGCTAGTTAAGATGAGTCATGCAATCTACTTCTTCATTCTTTCTCATTTCATTCTTTTAAAAATCAAGCATATCTTCATGCATAACAATTCTTCATGTCTGGTGAAGACCTTATGCTTTGATTCCTGCTGTTCCTTCACAGTGTTTCTCAGGTGGTGCAGTACAAAGAAGGTGAAATGAACTTGCACCTGAGTGAAAATAAAATGGTGGTTTTATTTGCCTTTAAGGGCACTTAAATCTGCTTCCTGGAATAACAACCTCCCTCTGCCTGATGGTAGGGCCAGTGCCAAACCTTTTGCATTAGCAGTGTTCTGTCTAGTCAAATGGAAACACAGTATGCATCACATAACTGGTCACACTTGGGTCATAATTTGAAGCTCTTTTCTAAACTCCCACCCTCTCCTCCATGAGGTACATCATGTGACCTCCTGGCTCTGAAATGCTGCCCCTCAGAGGTCTCTCTAGTGCCTACTGGAATGTCTTTTGAGTGCAAGATACGGGATTTTATTTGCCGAGGCTTCCCCATTTACCCTTGTATGTGGCTGTATTAGTTCAGCTATGTAAAACATTTTTTTCTGCATCTTAATTCAAGGCTGCAGGGCTTTGTTCTTCTGCTTTTTTTCCTTTTTTCTTTTTTGCATTTGTTAAACTCTGTTTTATGTTTGTCCGAAAGTAAAATACGTGTAAAGTGTTTTCAATTCAAATTGATACTTTTCTCTTCACAGACTTGGTGGCTGTTTTATGCCCAAAGGGACCACTCCGAATGTTAGTGGAAACTGCACAAGAGAGAAACGAGCCAATATTTCCTGCACTTATTTATTCCTGTGAGTAAAATAAAATTGTATGTTCTTCACAAAATACAGTTGCCTGTGTAAGAATGAACAATGCATTGTTATGGTTGTTGTGGGTTTTTCAGGCTCTTTGGCTGTGTTTTGAAAGCCAAAGAGCCCGAAAAACCCACAACAACCATTAGATTCTGGCCGTGAAAGCCTTCGCGAATACAACGCATTGTTAATTTGGTGCCTTGTCCCAGAACTGGCGAAGGGGAAATATAAAGCAGAGTGTCCATCTTCCCTGCCAAGTGAAGGTTTCATTGGATGTTGTGTATTCTGTGGGTTCCGAATGTCATGCCATTGCAAAATCCAGTATATTTATCATCCTCATCTTAGACTGCAGAACTGGAAGGGACCTTATGGGTCATCAAGTATAGCGCTAGTTAAGGAGGGATAGTGGGGAATGGAACTCCCAACCTCTAGCTCCACAGCCAGAGACCTAAACCCCTGAGCTATCCATCCATTAGATTGATTGATTGATTGATTGATTGATTGTCTGATTGATTTGATTTGTATCCCGCCCATCTGGTCTATACGACCACTTATATCCAGCAGTAGCTATCCAAAAATTATCCTAATAATTTCAGCTTTTAAAAAATGAAATTTATAGCATGTAAGCTATACAGAGGCTTGACATTGGTGTGAACATGGTGCCTGAGCTCCGGAGACCTTCCAGGGTGATAGAATGTATAAGAAGAGGGGAAGGTCACATACCACCCCTCTTCTGTGAATTGTGGCATGGGTCCCGCATTCAAAGGCTTACCAATGATGGCTGTGATGATGCTATGGAAAGGGAGCTTTCATTCTGCCAGTAAATGTTCAATAGGATAGCTGCAGTTATGCTCCATAGCTTGGAAAACTTACTTGTTTTTTACAAAAACTCCCAGAATCTCTCACCCAGCAGGTGTGCTCTCCGTTAATTTCTTTGAATTTATTCGGAATATATTATCTGTCTTCTCAACTAACTCCTTTGATAGGTTATTTCTGTTTCTAATATGTTCTGACTAATGAAATGGACCGACTATTGATTTTTAAATGAAGAAGTTACCATGCCATAGGGATTCAAGAAGAAGAAGTTACTCTTTTGAACGACAACTTTGAGAAGCCCCCGTTCGCATAGCAACTAGTTATGGTGGCTGTGGGGATTCTGGGAGGTAAAGTCCAAAACTGGAATGTCTCCAAGCTCCAGTAGAGTCAGATTTGCATGTCTAAAAGGATACGTATACCTAGGCAAGAAGCCAGGTTGACAACAGGTCCCGGCTGCAGATTCTTGCGGGATTCAAGATAGACAATCTGGACACAGCTCTGCTTGCTATAGGGTTAAACAAGCAGAGCCAAAATTCAGCAAGATAGATGTTCTCTCCCTTTGGCACTGCTGTATCCCCTAAGTGCTTCGGCGTTTCCACCATTCACTCTCCAACTCAACTCAGCTGTTCATCAGCTATCCCTTGTTGTATCTGATCTGGCTGTCCAAAGGAAGGAAGTGGAAAATTGTTTCTTTCCATTCATATGTAAAACTGTATATATCTCCCATCCTTATCTGATTTTTATCCATGCAAGTGGTAAGTGACAATAATACCAGACCTTTTGCTAGACTAACAACTATTTTAATACTCCCACTTGAGTAAGAATGGAGAATTTGGTATGAAAGCCATCTAAATGTGTCTATGTGTTACATGCCGTCAAGTCTGAACCAAATTATAGTGACCCTAACAGGGATTTCAAGGTAAGTGAGATGTTTAAGGAGTGGTTTTATTAGTTCCACTCCCTAGTGAGTTTCCATGGCTGAGCGGGGATTCGAACCCTGGTTTCCAGAGTCCTATTCCATCACTATCCATCACTCGTTTCCATGGCTGAGCGGGGATTCGAACCCTGGTCTCCAGAGTCCTGTTCCATCACTATCCATCACTCTATACCACACTGTGAATTATCACCTAAATGGAGATGCTTGTTACTCCCTTTGGGAATATAAGATGACTATTATCTGGAAGGAAAGGAATGAAGTATGAGAAGTAAGGAGGTGGAGAAGCATTCTTTCCTAGTACATATTTTGAACATTCCAACACTGTTATTTTGAGTAAGCTACATTTAGGTGGCTTGCTCAAAATAACAGTCTTAATATTTTAAAAATATGTATTAGGACAAAATGTACCTCCACCTCCTTACTTCTTGTTTTCATTCCTTTCCTTCCAGATAATAGTTCTCTTATATTCCCAAATGGAGTACAGTAACAAGCTTCTAGATATACATGTATGCACAGTGTTAGCCATACACCCAGAGTTGAGAAACTTCAGTTTGTTAGATTGTAATTTCCAGAACCCTGCAACAAATAGCATGGCTAGGGAAAAAATAAAGGTTCCTACCTCTGCACATGCCAGATTCAGGTGATCATTGTAGGTGATGATTCTATGTGAAGCAAGCAAGACTGCATGCTTCTAGAGCCAACCTTCCTTGCACACTCGTTTGGAGTTAAGCTGGTGGAAGCTGGCTTGCAGTGGGAGGAGGGGTAGAGGAGAAACATATTGTGGAATTCCTTCATGAAAGAGGTTAATCCCAAAGCAATTCCAGAGTTTCCAACAAGCAAACAGAAGCCAACATCATGTGGTTCTGAAGGATCTTTGGTCTCTCAGATTGCTGTTTTTAAAACAGGTTTGGAGACGACCTGGATCTGCTTTTAAATACCTGTTGGAGTGGCTCTTCCTAAGATTGTCTCTCCAGGCTACCTGTTCTGCCTAGACCTCTTGGTTGTAGGTGGTCACCCCAAGAGAGGCCTGGAAAACTATCACCAAGAACCAGACTTCCGTAGTGTAGCAGTGGTGGCTGCTACACTATGGAACGTGTGTTGCCTGTTTACATGTGCCACATTCCCTTCTGTCTTTCAGGAAGTGTGTGAAATCTGAACTTTTCAAACAGGACTTTAAGAATATCCTTACCCCTATGACCCTTGCAAGAATCCATGTGCTTGAACTTGAATTTTATTTGCTGTTGCCAATGTTTTTTTCCAATCTTTTTTTGCTGATTATTATTATTTGTGTGATTTTTGTTTGTTTGTTTCTAATTTCTGTTAGCTGCCTTGAGTAGTGGTTCACCACTAAATGGAGGGGATTTAAATAAATAACATTTTAACCTCTTCTTTAAATGTTTTTAATAATGCTCTATCATACATTGCTTTGGCAGCCCTTCTGGCAGAATGATCATTAACAAGCATTTTAAATTTAAAAATGCCATGGTGCTTCCCTACAACTTCCTCAATGGGTATAACTTTGGATGATTGTGAGAATCTAGCATCAGGACAGGGACAGGACACTTGGGCAGAGTTTGACCTAGCCAAGTTTCAAAGCCTTCCAATTTAGGTCTTTGCAATGCATTCAGGTATTTGCAAAGTGCCTGTAAGGTAGGTTAAACTCCTGGAACAGAGAATTATGGTATTTGTAGTTTGGAAAATCCAAAAATTTCATCCTTGGTGTTGGTATTTTGCATCTTTTAATGTGGAAAAAGCAGTGTGATAAGCATAGCTGTTTCTGTCTAACTTGGAGTGGTTCCAGCCGTCTTGTTTTCCAAGTCATGTTAACTCCCTCCTTCCCCATAGCTGCCATGATATGGACTGTCGGAATGGCAAAACCGGAAAATGTGCGAAGAGGCATTTCTCAAGAAACATGGGATTCAGGTGATCCATGTGATGCAATACGTTTATTTGTCCATCTGCTGTTGATGAGTAGTAGTGGTAGGAGAGGGGCTGTAGGTCTAAATGTAACTGTTCTTGCATCTAGGATAGACTCGTAAAGTGACTTTGTGCTTTCTGTGATGTATGGGGGCATTTTTCAGTTTAAAAAAATGTTTTGTAAGAAAATGCACCACCACCACCCCAGGTTCTGGGACAGGCATATGCAATCCCTGGATCTCTGGAGGTTACATACTCTTATATTACATCAGTTAGTGGATTGTGGGTCTACATTTGGGTAAATTCCATGGATTCAGTAGATCTGCTGTGTTAGGACTAAATCTGGATTTTGCCTGCTGTCTTCAAGGCTCACTTACAGACTTCTTGGAGTTACCTGATTGGCCATAGTAACTGGATGGATGGGTTACTGAACTAGATGGATTGCTGGGTGGATTGAGCACAATGATTTATACAGTATTTTAAGATTTACTCGTGAGAAAGTGTATAGAAGACTTTAGCTTTTTGAGCAGGAACCTTTGAATGTACTGTATATGTTGAATTCCCTTAAGTGTTTGTGTATTTTTTGTGGGTGTATTTTTTTGTGTGTGTTGGTTTTTTTCTCTCTTCCCTAATACTTTGTGCTTTGTTTGGGAAATCAGCTGAAGGACCTGAGAACCATGGGACTTCTTCACACCCTGAGCTTGAAGATGGAAGAAGTCTAGCACCTGGCCAAAGCGGTCAACATGCTAATCAGATAGGCAACAACATACAAGAGATGTTGGAGGAGGGAGAAAGTAAGTTTGAACATATTACTGTTATTTCACAGGCAAATTCTAATTGTTCCCTTGCACCAAGTATGAATTCAGGTACTCTAAGGATACAGGTGAGGTGGGGGGGGAGCCATTATTCCATGTAGATCTCATTTCAGGAAAGGTGGGGCATAAATGTAGCTTTGTTGTTATCTGCTATCAAGTCGCTTCCAACTTAGGCTGACCCCAGTGAAGCTTTCAAGGTATGTGAGATGTTCAAGAGTTTACCATTGCCAGCCCTCAGCAAACAAGTGCAGATGTTGTGCTAACTTTAACTTTGCTAATGCATCATCCCTGAAATGTAGACATTATTGGTGTTTCAACCTTGCAGCTACCAGAACCTCATAGACATCATGGTCACTAGCTATGCTGGCCCTGGGATTGTAGGAGGTAGCATTCCAACCTCCCCCTGCCATGTTTCTCATCTCTGTCTCTGGGGGAGAGTTTTAGCTGACGGTTCTGCCTGAAGGTTCATGAATGAAGAGAGGCATGATGTGCAGAAGCTAAATTACAAGGCATGTGCTAGCTGTAAATTCTGCCTTGCAGGAGGTCTGTTTCCTATGCATTTTGTGCAACAATAATGTACTCTGGCCCTGAACTGGCCTCTGTGCTGAAACTAGTATTACAGTGCAATAGATTTCCCATAGGATGCAGCAGCCCATGTCGTGGTACTTGTCCCATTGACTTGTGAGAAAGTCATTTGCACCTGATGATGTTCTAGGTTAGTCATTCTATGAGTTAAGAGGCACACTGTCCCCTGTGCACACCCACCACATATATAAAATTGTAAGTAAAATCTTTTATTTGCAGGTCAAAAGATACAGTTGAAGTTTGTCTAAATGTAAGAACTACCTGCCCTTAGAAGAGGCCACCTCCTTGCATTTCTGCACATTGCCCTCGTTTTCTCTCTCTCTCTCTCTGTCTCTTGCATACGTCATTTCTGAAGCAGAAGTAATTCTGTTGCATCTACATTGGGGAAATGCTGTATGCACTGAGAGCTCCTCTTCCGGGAGGGCAGAAAGAGCCCTGTCTGGAAACTATGGAGAGTTCCTTCCAGTCAGTGTAAACCATGGCTGGGCAACCTTTTTCAGGTCAAGGGCCTTGTCTGGAGTTAGAAAGTGGTCCACTAGGTACGCATCAACATGGAGGTGGAGCCAAAGCAAAAACCATGGGGAGCTAAAGCATGGGAACATCTGCATTGGGACCGATATACTGAGGATGAAAATAATTTTGTGAATTATCCTGTTTCACCCCACACATCTGCTTTCCCTTTCTAAACGTGAAAATGATGCATAAGGAATACCAGAATACTGTGACTGCTGTAGGCATGTATGAAAAATCTGGCAAAGTGGTATTTTTAACAATTCCACTTAAAGTTTATCTTTTTTTTATTGAGAACAACATTATTATTGAAGTCATTATGTATTTGTATAGATTTTTGCCTCATCATGTGCCCAATACAGAATTGAGATATACCCTGGCCCCTCATCAGTTAGCCATAATGCATACCTTGTGCAAACATTATTGGGATTCCAGCCAATATGAATTGTTAGCTACTCTGAGCTATCCCAAGGAAGGGTGGGATATAAGTTGAATAAATGCATGTAATAAATGTTATTACAGGAACATTAATAATGATGATAATAAAAGTAGTGATAATAGTAATCTGAGAACTGCAAAGCTAGAAGGGACCCTGTGGATCATCAAGTCCAGCCCCTGTGAAGGAGGCACAGAAAAGAATCAAACTCCCAACCTCTGTCTCCACAGTCGGATGCCTACACCACTGAGCTGTCCAGCACTAGTAACAGTATGAATGAGAATAAGCATCTTTGAGCATTCAGTGAAGAAAGCTGGTGACCTTTTTTCTTTTCTTTTAATAGGAGGTGTTAAGTTGGGGCTTGGAGACTTCATATTCTACAGTGTTCTTGTAGGGAAAGCAGCTGCTACTGCTAGTGGTGACTGGAATACAACTCTGGCTTGTTTTGTAGCCATCCTTATAGTAAGTGAAATCTGTATGTTCTGAATTGCCAGAATGTGAAATGCCACCTTCAGAGTTCATCCAGGCAAGCTGGCATGGTAGCTTGTCAGCCCTGGGCTTGTAGCACCTTGTTGTTTAGTCGTTTAGTCGTGTCCGACTCTTCGTGACCCCATGGACCAGAGCACGCCAGGCCCAAGCACCTAAGCAGAGCTAAAGAGCGAGTCCTAAGATTGTTGGGATTAGAGAGGGGCCTGTTTGTAAAGATCAACTTCACAGAGCTTTTCTGATTTCCTAGTTCCGTCCCAGTTCTCACAATTTTTTATTTCCCGCACAGAGTTTATTTATTTATTTATTTATTTATTTGATTTATATCCCGCCCATCTGGTATATGTGTACCACTCTGATCTCCATGCACTTTCTTCAGAGGCATATCCTCTTTCTTTGTTGACTTTTTAAATTGACATCTACAGGCACAAAATGTGTTTGTGTACATTTTACACCACATGCAATCTTCTTTGCGCACACCATCAAGAAACACTACAGTACCCCCTAAACAACATTTCAGAAACAAAAGATAAATGGGGATCATTACACTGAAATAAACGATGTTGGTCAACATTGTTTTGTTTTGAAAATGTAATGTTATTGACCCCCTTACTGCCAAAAAGAAAAGTCATTGAGCTGTACGTCATGTAGTCACTGGAGGAAAACATTATGTCTAACTGTGGCAGCTGAGGTACAATGCTAGTGTAGTCACTCCCTTAGTCTCTTGATGAGGTAGATTCTGGCCCATGAACATTTATGCCATTATAAATCAGATAAGCACAATGAGCTTAGACATGTCTAACTCTGGGCTGGGGGAGTTGTCCTTAGTACAGACTCTATCATCTAAGTTTTTAAAAATTGCTTATGGGTATAAGGAAAGTATTCTGGCTTTCTGTTGAACAATTTTTTCCTCTTGTTTTTTGCCTCTTAGGGCCTGTGTTTAACTCTTTTATTGCTGGCAGTATTCAAGAAAGCATTGCCTGCCCTTCCGATATCCATCACCTTTGGCTTGATCTTCTACTTCTCAACAGATAATCTTGTGCAACCTTTCATGGATACCCTTGCAGCTCATCAGTTATATATTTAAAGAAAGGCAGGGGGTGTCTCTTCTTCCAAGAGCCTCACCATGTGGCTGGATAATGTTTAAAAGGATACAGTTCTGTGATTTTTATACTTATTGCCATAGATCTTTCAGGAAACCTTGCCAAAAACAAAAAGTGAGCATCCCCTGCAATTTAATAGCCGGATCTTTTAACATTTGATCTTAAAATTAGACTGAGATCAAGAAGCAGTCTGCTGTGGCCCATGTTTGTTCCGAATCAAGACCCATCCATCCACTAACGCCCCTGAATTAAATTGTGTTTACTCTCAAGTAAGCATACCTTTATATTCTTAAGAGCCCTGATCTTTCTCTTTCAGGCTAGTGCCACAAGGTCTTCTGCCTCCTGAGACAGAAGGAGAAGCTCTGCATGGGGTTGGCCGCTGCCATCCTGCTTGTGGTAAAGCCATGAAGTGGCTGAGCTGCAGAGGTGGTGGTAGAGCAGCAAGGGTGTTCTGGCTTCAGTAGTGGGCAGTCTGTGGCTTCTGTGCTGCTGCTCGTGCTCCACTGCCTGAGGCAACTGTCTCACCTGGGCTAATGGCAGGGCTGGCCCTGCTTTCAGAATATGGTCAACAGGTTAAACTCTCATAGTGCATGGTTATGATTCTGGTTATGGAGAGATGAAAAATCTCTCTCTCAGAATGTGAGTTTTGGATTCAGATCATAAGAAAGAACTACTGGATACTCCTAATAAAAAGAGGTTTTTAAAATTCTGGGAAAGCACAATATTTAAAAGGGGAATGAAAGTCAAGGCTGTATAAGAGAGAGATGCAACCTTCAGGGCTGATTGAACAATGGCACAGGCGCTGTCTGAAGAGAAGGGACGAACAGTTTGAACCTACACTGGGTATCTCCACTTAATGACGTGCTTGCATGCTTTCTACATGCCTGATTTGGCACTACAGGTCACAGCAGGAATTACTGGAAGCCAAATGCAAAAAAACCACTGGTTTGTTTCAGTTTTGTGCAATTTTCTTTTGTCAGCTGAGTTATCTGGGAAAGTCAAGTGTATGTTGGAGGGTTTGCCTCCTGGGGATCCTGAATGAATGTGTCACAATGTAAATGTGAGCAAATGTGTCAGTGTATACACACAGAGGCATACATATGGATGTCTAAGCACTGCTCATACGAACAGACAGATTAAAAAAAGGAGAGTGGTGGCAGTGGTGGGGCTTCCAGCAGCCTCCTCCAGATCTGTTGAATTCTCATCGTCTCCTGGTAGCCACCAAGGTTAACACCGACTGGGTAGTGGGAGTTACGGTCCATCTGGAGTCCCCGATGGTGGGTTTCTAGGTCTTTTGGGCATGGACAGGCAGAGAGCAACCAAGCTTGTTTGACTGCAGCTCTTGTTAGTGACATAGCCAATGGTCAAGAATGCTGGGAGTTGTAGTAGTACTATAACATGGAGAAATAGGTATAGTGGTACCTAGCTAAAGTTGAAGAAGTTACTCTTCTGGGCTCACAACTACCAGAATTACCAGTGGCCATGCTGGCTAGAGGCTTCTGAGAGTTGTAGTCTAGAAAAGTAATTTCTGAAATGTTGAAGCCTCACTGCATCTTAATTTTTCTTTATCTTTTAATGGGGAAATATCTTACAATAACCAATCTTGTGTACATTTGATTAGCTATATACAGAAATGGTATAAGTGACATGAATAGTAAATTCATGGTTGCACAACAACTTAAGGGGGTGTCATATTTTGGCTCGGAAACTGAATAAATGGTTCTCATTTTCTTTCAGTATTAATTCCTTTCTTGTATGAGCCTGTTTGTTTGGTAACTTGACACAGTCTATGGTAACTGCGTTTTTATACTTGTGTTTTCCTGGTTTCCGCAATCTCTCCATTTTAATTATGTTCCTTATAAAGCCAATTCAACATCCACTTTGGTTCAAAGACTCTGCACACAGCCTCTTGGAGAGTTACAAAGACAAATCTGAGTCTGCGCTCCCTGTCATATTCTATGAATGAGACACTGTGCCCTCAGTGATAAAATCTGCTACAGTGGGGTCTTGACTTGAGAACTTAATCCGTATTGGAAGGCGGTTCTCAAGTCAAAAAGTCTGTAGGTCAAGTCTCCATTGACCTACAGTGCATTGAAAACCAATTAATCCCGTAAGAGGCCGTTTTTGTTCCATTTTGGTTTTTTTCTAGTCTGTAAGTCAATTCTCAGGCTGCAAGTCAAACCTAAATTTTGCAGCCAGAGAAGTCTGTAACTGAAAAAGTCTGTAAGTCAAGCCGTCTGTAAGTCAAGGGTCCACTGTATCTGGAAGAACCTAGTAAAATCTGGCTGAGTGCATCTCAGATGTTTTGGTCTTTCAGTGTTGCAGTGTTAACAGGGTATGAAAGCTGCTGGTAAGAGAGGAGACCGAGGTGGAGGGAATGCGATCCAGCCAGCCTGATGCTGGAAGTGGTGCTAGTCTAAAGAATTGCCTTGAGTCTGATCTGGCAAATGTTTTAAATGGTAGAAATTTATTGACTCAAAACAGAAAAGCGTATTCAGCAATTGGAGACAGTTATTTTTGCTTCTCTCATACACTGCAAGCACCCCTCTGATTCTGAATGTGAAACTGACGATCAGGTCAAAGCATCTGAATATCCCTTTGCTCAAGATTTGTGCACTTTCTGTGGCAAGAAAAATTCTAAGTTTATGATGTCAGAAATATTCCATTTCTCTCTCTGTTTTGAAATGCTGATCGTATTAGTTATATCCCGTATTAAAACTAGCCAACCGTGAGCCTACTGCTAGTTTGTAAGATGAAATCAAAATCCCAAAGGTTTATGTTGCCCTCACCAAAAAGATATAGAAGTTTCTGTTTTGTTACTTTGTATGTGCCTGAGTGTGGACCAACATGAGTTACAGAAAACTCTTAATGTTATTTAAAACTTAATTTTCTTTTTTTATTCTGACTGTCACATTTTTAAGCCCCTTTGGTGGGGGAAAAAAGAACGTGCTTTATGATTCTTTGCAAAAATGTTTGGGCTTAATTTTCTTTGCTGAGTATTGTGCTTTTCTGTTACTGACTTCCTCCTGGGACACCAGCCATTTTCGTTTTTCAAAAACAGTTCTTTCTGTCCCAAAGTCCTTTTGAAAAAAGGAATATTTCTTACGTGATGTACTTGTCTATTTACTTTATTAGACCATTTTGTTCTGAATGGTGGAAGGGGAAGGGACTGGAGATAGAATTTCTGAATATATTCAGATAGGTGACTCCCTAGTGTGACCAAAAGGTACTCTTGTGAAGCTATTCTAGTCAGTGGCTTTTCTGTGGAAAAAATAAAAGATTGAAAATGTGGTATGAGAAAGTGGAAAGGTTACCAGGGGAAGGTGGCATTATGTAGACCCTTGAGCACCTGCATTTCAAAAGTAAGTGGGGTGCCAATCACGATGCTCCCCCCTCCAAATTTCAACCTCTTAAGCTCTAACCATTTAAAATTTTCCCCCTTCTCCGCGTTTTGCTGAGTTTCTTCATTTTGGCCAGAATCCTATTGCTGATTTACCCTCATGTGAGTGAAAAGGTGTAAGTTATGGTGGCAAACTGCCACTCATTAATGAGGTGCTCTTTGTATTCCTGAGTGTGGGCCTAATGAGAAGCAATCTTTCACCATTTCCCTTACAGAAGTGTAAATTAGCAACAGGATTCTTCTTGACCCAGTGTCTTTCAAAGGAGCAATGGAATAAAATGCCCTATATCAGCTGCTAGGGGGCAGTGGCACAACAGTATTCCAAGTTGTAAACTAAAGTTTGCTTCAGAACATTATAGAAGATCCAAAGCATTTGACATGAACTATCTCCAAATTCACTGAAATAAACTCCTAAATCCTAACTGATGCCAGTACTAAGGTGAAAGAGCTGAAGGCAATTTTCAGATCTCAGAACATAAGTTTCAATTTACTTTGTTCCTGCTTCACACTTTTGAAATGCAAATTCATTATCAGAATATGTGACTTGCTAAATGTAGCTAAGTGTCTGTTGTATTTGCTTCCTGGCTCCCTGCTTCGTTTGCACAATAGCCTGATGAGATAGATGGAGATGAGACAGAGAGTGACGCTTCCTCTTTCTTTCCTTGATTTCCTTTTAATACTGTATTGCCAATATACTGAGACAGATTACACAGTTACTTCTTTGGAAATGGCTTGCCTAAGGTTATCTCTGAGTTTTATAGCTCAGTGGGATTAGAATCTGGATCTCTCCAGTCCTAGTCCAACTCCCTAATGACTTTGCCCTGCTGGCCATTAGGTATAACTCTTGAGTTTGTTCTTCCATTAATCTAATGACTTTGCCCTGCTGGCCATTAGGTACAGTATAACTCTTGAGATTGTTCTTCCATTAATTGTGGCTCCTTAGTTCTGAGCTTTGCCTGTAAAGAATTAACATGCATTTACTTTTTCCCATTACTGAGGTCTCCTTTAAGAGCAGGGCCATTATTTAGGTCTCCTGTCATCATGCTCAGTTTCCCCCTCCCCCTTTGGCACAGCGTAACCCTCAAAGGTCATTTGGGTCCATGTCTTTGTTCCCTTAATGGAATGGAATGAGAGGAGGTGGGTGTTTATAGAGGTCCACCCTGGGCCAGTTGGTTGTTTATCTTCCACTGCATGCCAGGCTTACAGATAACAACAATTAAAGCTCCTTCAAATGACAGCACAGTGTGTCTGCCTCCCCGAAGCTATGAATGCTCTGCACTATTTATGGAATGATATAAAGAAAGATATAAATAAACAGACTTTGAAGTGATGACAGATGGAGACATTCATACCCAGACTTCAGGGACAGGTAAACTGCTAGACAACTGCCCTGGAACTTTCCTTAGCCTTTGTGACTTCTAGGACTTGGACATTCCACAAAATGCAGCAGAAGGACACAAAGATGTCTCAGAATAAGGACAAGTCAGTTGTCCAGCAAATGAGGTCACCTGAAATGCTGTAATATTCAATGTATATGACATAGGAAAAGAAGGAAACTTTATAGTCAGCTGCTGGAAGGTTGTTAGGTCTTAAGAAGATGTGTGACTCCTGATCCGCAGCTGCTGGAAGGTTGTTAGGTCTTAAGATGTGTGACTCCTGATCCCTCAATATATATAAAAGCCTTGCAGGCTGAACCGTATGCATTTAAAACAGTTGCAAAGCAAATCCTCTGCCAGGTGTATTCCCACCAAGGTGTGCAAATTCTCCAGTCCTGGTTTTTGGCAACTGCTGTAGAGTGGCTGACTTCATTTGGAGTGCCCCCTCCACTCAACTTACTGCCAATAATCTTTTTCATTTAAATGTTTCCAAGGTATGCATAGGTATTTGGATACAAATACATCATGAGAATCTACCAAAATTGTGTATGGCACCATCTGAAAGCAACTAGTATCAATACAAAAATAGAAGGTGGTGGGTTTGGTCAATGTGTGCATTGGGTTCAGTAGTTGGAAAGTGAGGAAGAACATGCTAGCAAAACTGTTCCTCTGCATGGTGGTTGTGGGTTTTTCAGGCTCTTTGGCCGTGTTCTGAAGGTTGTTCTTCCTAACGTTTCACCAGTCTCTGTGGTCGGCATCTTCAGAGGACAGGAGTGACACCCTGTGCTCTGGTGCAGTTTGTTTGGGAGTTCCTCTGCACCTTATCTGAAAACACTTTTCTTTTTGAATTTGTTTTCTCAGTTTATTCCTGTGGGTCATTCTCGTAACATTTAAGAGATGTTATGATATTCTGTGGTATATGTGTACCAGAAATAAATAAATAGGTTCTCTGAATCCTCCTTTTTTAAAAGTATATTCATCTAGCTATCCCTTTTTTAAAAGTCCATGTGTTCTAAAATGATTATATCCTATACTTCCAGTAGGATTTTTCTGGGGTAATTTTGCAGAGAAACAATATATAACTCAATAAAAGTATAATCATATGAAAGAGAACAGACCAAAAGCAGATTAAAAGGATAAAACCAATTTCATGCAAGGTAAGCAATCCATGGACAAAAGTTGAACTGACCAACAGTTGCTTTTTCTTTCAGTAGTGGTGACAAGACAGCATCTGAGGGCCGGGCGGTAACATGGTGTGGATGGTGTAGAGCACGCCACGTGAAATTAGTTCTGTGTCCTTTGGTGCCTCTTGCATGTCTTGCAGTTAACACCAGCCTTGTCAGCTGGGAATAATATAGCCAATCCAAGATATTTTGATGGATAAGGTGGAAGGCAAGATGGCACTTCAGTCCATTCTATGTGCCAAAGTTGACTGTGCTGGTAGCTGAAACTTTTTTCCACATTGATGATAGGTTTGTGTTTTTCACTGCATCTGGGGGGAACTTAAGGAGACACATCAGGCCATGTGGCATGCATAGCTCTATTCTCCAGTTCTTCCATTTCCCTGCTACCTTAAATTTGTTGCCTTAGTAGTCTCCTACCTAATGGTTGGGTGGGACTTGCCTACTTACTATAATAAAGCTTAACTTTCCCTTTTCCTTTAAGAGTGTTCCTTGTGAGTAGCTGGTTCCAAGACACTCTAGCACAGTGGTCCCCAATCTTGGACCTCCAGGTGTTCTTGGACTTCAGCTCCTAGAAATCCTGGCCAGCAGAGGTGGTGGCGAAGGCTTCTGGGAGTTGTAGTTCAACAACATCTGGAGGCCCAACGTTGAGGACCACTGCTCTAGCACACCAGTGACATAACAGAAAGCTCTGCTGCCCTAGAAAGAAATGGATCAGTAGAAAGACTGGTGGTACAGACTGTATGGCCTAGCTAGGTCTGTTCTCCCTAGCTAGGCCATACAGTT